CCCCCCCCCCCCCCCAATTTGGCTTCCTCCCCCCACCAGGGCAGGCTGACAGCTAGTGAACGCAAAGTTCAAGCTCTGGCAGTGCCTCTCCAAACCACACCCCCATGACAACCATACAGCCAGTCCTTGGCTTATAACCACAATTGGGACCAGTATTGCCAAACAGGAAGGTAGTTAAGTTAGTCAAAGCTGATTTTCCAATCTTTCTTTTTTTTTTTTGTCCTGGTTATGCAAATCACCGCACCTGTTAAGCAAATCCAGCTTTCCTCTTGACTTTGTAGCTGCAAAAGTCACAGACGGGTCAGTCCCGTGGCCCTGGGATGTTGCAACCGCTGTAAATACATGCCAGTCACCAAGTGTCCAAGAATTTTGCGAGCATATGAGATGCTGCAATGGTCCTAAGTGCAAGGACCAGTTGTAGGTCACTTTTTTCAGCATCATCGTAACTTTGGTTAGTTGCAAGACTACAATACATAGTTTCAGATATCTGTGTGGTCAATGCAGCAAAACACAAATCTAGCTCCCTTTTGTCCGCCACAATATTTTAAGAAGAGTATAAATGCAATAAACATAGATGTAGTCCAATGATAGAAAGGCTGTTTTGGCAGAGTCCTTTTTCACTTGTGGTCTTAAATCCACAGGTTAATAATCCATATTTTCTTCTGAAAGGAGGAGGAGAAAGTGTTTTGCCTCCTCTTGGTGCAGATTCTTTCACTTTGGCTTTGCTGCCTGTGAGAGCCGGAGGGGTTCTGGGGTTTTCCGTGCAGGCCTTCTCTTGGATTGCCTTGAAGTTTTTAGCTTCAGGGCTTCTGGCTGGTTTGTGGCTTGTGATTTCTCAGGTTTTCCTCTCAGCTAAGTTCATTTATTAGGGGGGAAAAAAACGCTTATTGTGTTTCTAAACTTTGAATAGCTTTAATTGCAGATTTTTTTTCCAAGTTGAGAATGGAAGGAAACTCTTCTGTACTTACATGGCAAAAGCCCTGTTTCTGGAAAGGGTGTGCTTTAAGAATTTACACACAGGAACTCAACTTTTGCTTCAAGCCTGCCTGAATTTTGCCATGGCTTTACTCTGGGCTCTTTCGGGGAGGAGAGCTAAGCATCCCAAATGGGGGCATATGTGGAATGATTTGCCTTTGGCAGAAGTCCACAGAAAGGAGCGACAGCTTCTGTTACTGAGATACTGAATGTACTTATCATTTCTCGCAGGAATTACAGGGATTTTTATGCCAAAAACAGCTGAACGAAGGCTTCTGCTTGGCTATAATAAGGCTGAGGTTAGACATTTTGACATCAAGTCATAACCTTTACAGAGCCTAATATTAGTTCTTCAAGCATTTTCTTCTGGGCTATGGGTGGCTGAAGTTCCTTTTGTTATTTTGTGGTTCCTTTCTCCTCCCTTCCTCCCACATGCAGAACAAAAGAGGGAGGAGAGCTACCCCAAGGACACATCAGAAATCAGCTGTGTAAGATGGCATGACCTCCCTGCAGATCTGTTTGGCCCATCTGTCAAAGAACTCTTTGAGAAGTTCTCCTCTTGGAATTTAACCCGTGGAATGCATAAACCATAAGAAAACATCACATACACACTTAAAATGATAATAACCCAATGAAGAGAATCACAGCATCAAATATATAGTAGTCTTTTACTAATAAACAGGTAGCACTTTACTTACGACCTTAGGAATTACGGTCATAAGTCATGCCAATCATTAGGGGGTCACTGTGTGACTCTGCCTGGTTTTATGATCCTTTTTGTGGCAGTCCTTAAGAGAATCATTGCAGTCATTAAGCGAACCCCGTGGACATTAAGCAAATCCATTGTCTGTAGTGGACTTCGTTTGCTGGAAACCAGGAATGCTGGGTTTCAGCAAAAAATCTGAATTGCAGTGACGTGACCATGCGATACCCCAGACAGCTGTAAATGCCGGGTGGGTGGGTGGCTGAGAACCCAGAATATCATCATGTGGCTGCAGGGTGTGTGTGTGTGTCAGAATTTCAAATTGGGGTTGTAAGGATCTCTAGGGATGCCCATTGTAACTCTGAACAGTTACTAAGCGACTGGTCGTAACTCAAGGACTTCCTGTACCACCAATTCAAGATCTTAGTTTGTAACCCGAAAGATGTAACGGCTTGCATTGCAGAGAGAAGCGCAGCTGTCTCAGTTTCTCTCCAGAAATGAAATCCCAATATTGCGCAGCCCCTGAAAGCTTTTTACTTCTTAGTTACCGTCCCCAAATCCATCAACTGGATTCCTGGGGAGAAGTGGCAGCCCACAGACATGGGCAGAGGGATGCAACGAAAGGCGTGTTCTGCACAGGGCTTTGTTTCCAGTACTGTGCCAGAGTTTGAAGCTCCCTCCCCACCAATCGCTTCCTGGTTTTGTCAAAGAGTTCCTGATTTAGCAGCTTAATTTAGGAGGGAAGAAAATGCTCCTCTGTTCCTCTTAAGCTACCGAAAGTAGGAAGTCCTTCTTGATCTGCCACACATGTCGCCAGGAAATAGGCCAGTAGACCCTGAGCCAACATCACTGGCAGAACTCTGGGGAGAACTTGTGACCGACTTGGTTTGAGCCTGCAGGTGTCTTTCGAGTTAGTTCTGTGTGTGTGCGTGTGTGTGTATCATTTGATCAGAGAATTCTTTCCTTAAGCTTTGTCGGTGTGTCCAACTTACAGGCTGCATGAAGCCCCGAGCAGCTAGTTAATGAGGCTCCACAGGATTGTATCAAAAGTTTAAAAGGGACGTGTATTATTTATATGCATTAACTATACTGTATGGTTCATACTGTATGCGGTCCAAGAGACTTAATGCGGCCCAGGCAAGCTAACAGGTTGGTCACTTGTGCCTTAAGGCCTGGGAGAAGAAGAAGGGGAGGGAAGGGGAAGCCAACACTTGAATGTTTGGAGCCACCTTCCCGTGGGCAGAAGCCTTACGCTTAGGAAAATCGTTTGTTTCTTGGAATTGCAGCTTCCGATTATGGTATGAAATTGCCCATCTTGCGCTCCAACCCTGAGGATCAGATTCTCTACCAGACGGAACGTTACAATGAGGAAACCTTTGGCTACGAGGTCCCGATCAAGGAAGAGGGCGACTATGTCCTGGTGCTGAAGTTCGCTGAAGTCTATTTTGCACAGTCGCAGCAGAAGGTAAGAAGAAGAAGAAGAAGAAGAAAAAAAATCCCTCCTGGGAGGTCAGCCTTTTTTGTGAATGGAACAAAAGCACCATTTGAAAGGCATTGGGGAAAGGTTGGTGGAGCTGGAGGAGGCATCCCAAGAGACATGGGTTGGGTGGCCACCCTTGACGTTTTCCCCTGGACTGCGGAGGGGAGCGATCTTAAACTGCAGTTTTGACTATCTAAATTTACTTGTCTCGTGTATGTTACCATGAAAGGTTACCATTTTGTCCAATTAGCAGCTCTGGATGTTGGCACCCACTCAAAGCAAGGCACAATATGAATAAAATAATATTCCCATTGGTGCAACATTTATTGAAAGCAACTCACAGTGGGCTGAAGGAGTGTAGGTGGGTGGCTGGCCGATCCATTCTTCACAGAGAGAATTTGGAGCAACTTGAAAACTCACCTGGGCCGGGCCGGGCCCTGTTTCCCTATGTCAAGGGTGTCAAACTCCATTTCATTGAGGGCTGCATCAGGGTTGTGTTTGACCTCTGAAGGCTGGGGGGCGTGTGCATGGGTGGGCCTGGCCAGCTCAACGTCACTCATGTCGGGGGCACCTGTGGTGGCCAAGTGCTAAGGCAGGACTTCCCTGAGACTTGTCCTCACTCTCATTATAATCCTTCCTTCCTTCCTTCCCCCTTTCCTTCCTTCCTTCCTTCCCCCTTTCCTTCCTTCCTTCCTTCCTTTTCCTTTCCTCTTCAACCTCCTTCCTTCCCGTCTTTCCTTATTTTTCCTTCCTTGCTCTCTTCCCTTCTTTT